TTTTTTTTTTTTTTTTTTTTTTTTTTTTTTTTTTTTTTTGTGGGGGGGGGGGGGTGGTGGTGGTGGTGGTTATAATTCTAGTCCACTTTGCAAAGTTGATAAATACGTACCAGGTTCGAAGTAAAAATTCTAATTTATTTCGAGAGTAATCAATTAACAAATAGAAATAAAGTTCACCGAGACTGCATCCTTTTTGCCACTATTGTGTTTTATTTTGGTGAGTAGTAGTTTACAAAGGAAATTGTACATCCATCTTCTTTTAACACCTTTTTCTCTTTTACAATGGTAGTATAAAAGTCTAATGATGGCTCTATTTATAAAACAAATTTGGGCAAAATCAAAATTTATAAGAACTCAAATTCCTAAGGCGAAATTTGCAATGTTACAAATTCTTTAACTACTCTTATTGAAATTTGGATTACACTATTTATACATAAAAATGGTATATAAGGAATTATATAAAATGATGTTGAGAGAAAATATTTGATGAAAAGTTGACGATATTTTCAACTAACAAATGATTAAGTAACCAGTGACATTATGTATTTCATAATGAAAAGCTAAACTACGAACCTAAGGATAAGAGATGTAAGGAATATCACTAGTACGAAAATTGTATATTTAGCCTATATATAATCTCAATGATTGTTACAACGTACGATGAACATGGGAGTCTAGATATTCTAGTGCTCAATTAGTAAGTTGTAAATTGACTCATGTATGTACAAGTTTATTTATTATTCAAATTATTTAATTTTTTTTAAGAGAGTCGAGTAGAGGACTTTGATGGTGAAACAACAATCTTTAACCAATCACGACGAGATGAATTTATTTAAATTTAAATAATACTATTATCACATCTCTTCAACTTCTAGAGACATTTTTTTTTCATCAATAGCCTCTAAGTGCATGCACAATTCATTATTTCAACAAATTATTTATCTAAGTTATGTCTTCAATAATCCATTCGATTTTAGCTTTAGCCGTGAAAAGGGTTTTGGCTTGAAGTGACGAGTTATTAAAGACAAACTGCAAATTTGCAATTACTCTCTTTTTTGTTAACCTAGTTATCTTTTCCCCTTAGAAATATCAATTCTAGAAATATGAAATTCGAATGAGATCACAATAGAAAAAGTTACATGTTACACCCCCCATCCTATGCTTGGACGCCATCGAATATCAGAACAAAGGACTTCACTAAAGATTAGGGAAAATTAGGATTAGGTTTCCTAACTTTTCAATTAGTATGGTTTTGACTTTCTAATTTCAAAAGTAGGAATCTGGCTCACTAATCTACTTAAATACGTAAAATTGAGTCATGACAAAAATTATCTATGTAAACATCCAAATTGCACATGAAGTCAAGTTAAATTGGTGAATCTAAGTCTATGGGTTAATGTTAAATCTTTGACAATTTTGTCATCTAAGTTCAAATAGCATGAAAGTCGAGTATAATATTATAGTAATATTAGTTATCTCTATTAGAGATGATTTCATGTGATATGCCATTAAATGATAGGGTCAATAAAATGAATCTCTACTAGTACATATGTATCTACCATTAATTTATGTTTTAATTGAAATAATAATTAGACAAGTCCATGAGTAACTTGGCGATTTCGTAGTTGAAGGTACCAAATCGTATCGAATGTCCTTTTTTTAAGTGGTCAAGTTGACTCATGTCACATACACGACCAGTAACTAAGCTAAGTTGAGTTCTTGAATATTGCTATTTTTTTTCTCTCTTCTCGATACTTACTAAAAGATGTAGTGCTCGAACCTAAAATCCAGACTTGAGCTACTCGATCCTTTTATACGCCTTTGATAAGATGTTAACCTGCAAAGTTCCCAAACTCATTTTGAACTCAAAATACTATTTTACATCATATTATCTAAAAAATTATTTATTTATTTAAATTTTATCTACAAGATTTGACAGTGATTTCGCTTATAAAACAAATCTTCAAACGAACATTTGACTCCAATATAACAAACCAGTCAAAAAATGCCAAAAAAAAATTATTAGTTAATAGTTTTTAATGCAGAGGATAATATAATTAATTAACATAGCATAATATTCAAATGAGAGTAGGTGAACTGCTCGACTTTTTGTCAACAAGAAATTCTAATATTCATCCAATTAATAATTTGATGGCTGTCTGTGTAATTTTCAATTTTAATTATTCCTTGATTGGGATCCGTTGACTAAAAAGAGGTACCACTGTACTGGATCTTGATTTTGTCCTAGTCATGATTTTATTTTTAAATTATTTTTTTCCTTTCACCTCTCTCTTCCACACACATGGATTTTGATTTTGACTACGAAATTTATTGCCTCCGTTTGGCCTCCCTTTTTTGAAAATGAAAATGGTTGGAATAGAGTTTTTTTGAAAGATGAGTGGTTGAAAAAGAAGAAATTTTTTTTTGATTTACGTGTAATATTATTTTATGGAAGATTGTGTGGTTGAAAATAGGAAAAAGAAAAATGTAATGTAATAAAATTTAATGGGGAACAAACGAGGGAATTTTGAGTTTTTGACGCTCGAAAATGATATTATATTAAACAAAATAACTAAAGGCATGATGAAGAAAAGTAATATAAGCAAAGAAATAATATGATTTGTTTAAATATTTTATCAATTAAAGTTCCCGTAACGACATTGCCTTGAGGACTATATTTTGGTTTAAAGGGTCAATTTGGGTATTATTTTAGTTAGTTAGGAGGCTAATATTAAGTGGTCAAGTTGTAGTACGATTCCAATATTCTAGAAAGATTGGTTATATTCACACCATATATATATATTTTTTTGATAAATACACCATATATTAATCAAATTACAGTTTATTATCACAATTATATCCTTAAACCTTTCTTCAGCACACTTTTATTTTTAACATTTCATTAATTAGAATATTTTGTCCTTAATCATCATTTCTCATTTCCGTCCAAAAATATTATTAACATTCTTTAAAATAAGAATCAAATATTTAATCGCACTTTTGTAGTATTATTTATTTTGCTTATTCAACAATACCATGGGCAAATGAGTCTTTTGACTCTATCTCAAGGAAAAATTTGGAGAGAACCCATAATAAAAAATAATTTATGTATTTGAGAAGAAAAATGCGATGAAAAAAATTTTGAGACATAAATGTAATAATGTGTAAAATTAAGTTATGAATATTTTATGCAATTAAAATGTAGTCTAGTTATTAAAATTTGTGGTGTGAATATGTTAAGCCATTCTAGAATTGTGTCCAACACATTATTTGAAAATTATGTTTAAATGCTTGTTTGGAATAGTATGAAAAGTTGCCAGAAAGTTGAGATCAAAATCAACAATTAATTTTAATCATACGTTAAATGATCCAAATTTTTATTTAACTTTTCAATCACATATATTGTCAACTTCTATCTAAATCTACTAAAATTTTTATCAAAAAATTTTGTTAAATAACCCTAAACTTTGACAAGTGCAAGTTTAGTTTGGATTAACATGGTGAAGATCGCCACAAGAAACTACGAACCTAAGGATAAGAGACGTAAGGAATATCAATAAGTACGAAAATTGTATATTAACCTATATATAATCTCAATGATTGTGACAACATGCGATGACATGGGAATCTAGATATTCTAGTGATCAATTCGTAAGTTGTAAATTGACTCATGTATGTACAAGTTTATTTATTATTCAAATTATTTAATTTTTTTTAAGAGAGTCGAGTAGAGGACTTTGATGGTGAAACAACAATCTTTAACCAATCACGACGAGATGAATTTATTTAAATTTAAATAATACTATTATCACATCTCTTCAACTTCTAGAGACATTTTTTTTTCATCAATAGCCTCTAAGTGCATGCACAATTCATTATTTCAACAAATTATTTATCTAAGTTATGTCTTCAATAATCCATTCGATTTTAGCTTTAGCCGTGAAAAGGGTTTTGGCTTGAAGAGCCATTTTTTGTCAATAAAATAAATAGATTCTATATTAAGTATATTTTTATATTTTACGTTTATTATTTTACTCAATATGTCGATACGTGAAGAAATTATTTATGTATATTTATGTTTTCAATATGCCCCAACATATCTGTGCTATGTGAACATCTTATATTTATCGTGGTAGATTTTATTTGAATTCTTAAATTTTATCAAATTAAGTATGATATTTAATAATCTCATCTACTTAAAGTAAAGATTTATTTCAAGACTTCCATTAAACAAGAACATGAACATTCACTTATTTATTATATAAATCATGAAACACTCTGCATACAACCATGCATGGCTTGCTACGTAAAACATAGGGACGCTAATCTTAATAAAATAAACAAACTGAAGAAAATTATGACAACTTCTTCTGCAGTATATATAGCTTATTCTATTCTTCTTCCATCGCTTTCATTCGTCCTCAAAAATCATTTTCAGCACATCCATTTCTTCTTTATTCTGGAAATATTCTCCTTCCTGCAAGAATGGATTGGCTTATAAGATTAAAACGAGTTGTTAGAATCAACTAAATCGAACTCTAAGACTCAATATGGTATCAGAGTCAAATAAACTCAACAATACGATTCCACGATTGATATTTACAAACGAGTCTAGCATTCTTGATTTTCATATTGTCTGGCAATTTTTTGTGTTGTCTGTGGTGAAGTTTATTCCATTATTTTATATGTTTACCTTTTTACAATCAATTAAAGACACTATAATGTATAAAATACTTTGGAATATTTGTAAAATGGAAAATAGATTACCCTTTCTTAGTCGTGGTGAGGAGGTGGAGGAGACTTGTACTTGTAAACTGGAGGTGGTGGGGACTTGTACTTGTAAACTGGAGGTGGTGGGGACTTGTACTTGTAAACTGGAGGCAACAAGAAATTCTAATATTCATCCAATTAATAATTTGATGGCTGTCTGTGTAATTTTCAATTTTAATTATTCCTTGATTGGGATCCGTTGACTCCAAAGACGTAGCACTGTACTAGATCTTGATATTGTCCTAGTCATGATTTTATTTTATTTTTTAATTATTTTTCCTTTCACCTCTCTCCTTCACACACGTGGATTTTGATTTTGACTACGAAATTTATTAGTTTTGAGTTTTTGACACTCGAAAACGATATTATATTAAACAAAATAACTAAAGGCATGATGAAGAAAAGTAATATAAGCAAAGAAATAATATGATTTGTTTAAATATTTCGGGGTAGGTGGTGGTGGTGGAGACTTGTACACATAAGGCTTTTTTGGGGGTGGTGGTGGAGACTTGTAGACATAGGGTTTCTTCGGTGGAGGTGGTGACTTGTACTCGGGAGGTGGTGGAGACTTATATACTGGAGGCGGTGGTGGTGGAGACTTGTAGATATAAGGCTTCTTTGGTGGTGGTGGTGGAGACTTGTATTCATAAGGCTTCTTTGGGGGTGGTGGTGGAGACTTGTAGACATAAGGCTTCTTTGGGGGTGGTGGTGGAGACTTGTAGACATAAGGCTTCTTTGGTGGTGGTGGTGGAGACTTGTATTCATAAGGCTTCTTTGGGGGTGGTGGTGGAGATTTGTAGACATAGGGTTTCTTCGGTGGAGGTGGTGACTTGTAGACCGGAGGCGGTGAAGACTTGTATACTGGTGGTGGTGGAGATTTGTAAATATAAGGTTTATCGTCATCTGCATTGGTTACAAAAGGCAAGGATAGAGCCACTATTGCCACCATTAGAGTGGCAATAAGAGAAGCCATTGTAGACATCTTTAGTTTTAGTTTTGATTGTGCTAAGAACCCTTACATGCATCCCTTTATATATAGATTAGGATTTACCATTTTCAACTCATTAATAATTGATTAATTACGGTTAAAAAAGATAAAATGACTAAACCCATAACTTAATCGCTAGATCTTGTCGGTAATTAGTGGCTGAAAGCTAAGCAAACGAAATAAAATAGGTTATATGACTATTCTTTGTCCATTTGATGCAATAATTCAATGAAAAAGTCTTCCAATTGCAAGACTTTCTTTTCTTTTTTTTTTTGTGTATATTAATATGTATTTATATTTCTAAATAGTATGAGAAATTTGAAATTTTGTTGCCTAACTTTGGATAATGATTGGTACATGGTTAACGATTCATATTTTGCAACCCTTTTTCTTTTCAAACGGAGCACACAGTTTTTTCCTTTTTAAGCATAAATTCATTAAAATCTACGTCGAATTTTTACGCCACCATATATATATATATATATATGTATTGCCGGGCTCTCTGTTTTCAATTTGCCTTAATGCATCGTGTATTGTATTTGTAAGAATCATTGGCAAAGTCGTAATCGCTAGAGGAAGGGGATTTAGGCCATCTCCAACCATTGCACCAAATTGCACCAAAATTTGGTGCAAACTTCCTCCAACCATTGCACCATTGCACCAAATTTTTATTATTTTAGTTAGTTAGGAGGCTAATATAAACATTGTAAAAAGTGGTCAAGTTGTAGTACGATTCCAATATTCTAGAAAGATTGGTTATATTCACACCATATATATATATTTTTTTGATAAATACACCATATATTAATCAAATTACAGTTTATTATCACAATTATATCCTTAAACCTTTCTTCAGCACACTTTTATTTTTAACATTTCATTAATTAGAATATTTTGTCCTTAATCATCATTTCTCATTTCCGTCCAAAAATATTATTAACATTCTTTAAAATAAGAATCAAATATTTAATCGCACTTTTGTAGTATTATTTATTTTGCTTATTCAACAATACCATGGGCAAATGAGTCTTTTGACTCTATCTCAAGGAAAAATTTGGAGAGAACCCATAATAAAAAATAATTTATGTATTTGAGAAGAAAAATGCGATGAAAAAAATTTTGAGACATAAATGTAATAATGTGTAAAATTAAGTTATGAATATTTTATGCAATTAAAATGTAGTCTAGTTATTAAAATTTGTGGTGTGAATATGTTAAGCCATTCTAGAATTGTGTCCAACACATTATTTGAAAATTATGTTTAAATGCTTGTTTGGAATAGTATGAAAAGTTGCCAGAAAGTTGAGATCAAAATCAACAATTAATTTTAATCATACGTTAAATGATCCAAATTTTTATTTAACTTTTCAATCACATATATTGTCAACTTCTATCTAAATCTACTAAAATTTTTATCAAAAAATTTTGTTAAATAACCCTAAACTTTGACAAGTGCAAGTTTAGTTTGGATTAACATGGTGAAGATCGCCACAAGAAACTACGAACCTAAGGATAAGAGACGTAAGGAATATCAATAAGTACGAAAATTGTATATTAACCTATATATAATCTCAATGATTGTGACAACATGCGATGACATGGGAATCTAGATATTCTAGTGATCAATTCGTAAGTTGTAAATTGACTCATGTATGTACAAGTTTATTTATTATTCAAATTTCAAATATGGTGCAACACTATTCATGTTGCACCATTTTGCACCAAATGGTGCAATGTCCATTTTACCTTTATTTTTCTTTTTTCAAAGTTAAGGGTTAAGGGCATTTGTGTCATTTTCGTTCTATAATAATAATGATAATGATAATGATGAGAATAATAATAATTACTTAATTAATTATACTCTTAATTATATTATTAAAATTTATTATTTTTAATAATATAATCAATAATAATTAACGTAATTGTTAATTTAACGTACAGTTAAATTCGTAAGGTTTACGTTTAAAATTTAATTTAATGTAGAGTTTATATTATTAAAGTTCATTATTTTTGTAAATTTAACGTAATTGTTTATCATAAATTAATAATATAATCAATTATTTTTGTCAATTTAACATAATATATATGACATGTAATAATATAGTAATCAATATATTTGTTAATTTAGTGAAGTTATGAATTAGTAATATATATAGTTATAAAATAAATAAATAAATAAATAATATTTTAAAATAAATATATTGTCAAAAATCGAAAGAATGAATAAAATAATAAAGTACTGTTCATTTGGTGTAAATTTTGGTGTAATGGTTGGAGAAGAATTTTGGTTTGGTGCAAGATTTAGTGCAAAATTTGGTGCAAAATGATGCAAAATTTGGTACAGGGTTGGAGATGACCTTAGGATTGCAAAATATGCTTTTTAAAAATAAAAAGTCTCTTTGAAATACTTTAAAATATTAATCACCAGGTCATCTACCGCTTCCCGAAGTGAGGTCCCACTATGATCCGACAATTCTTGAAGTAGTTAATAATTCCTTGCTTAATGAAAACATCGTCCCACTTACCCTTTTGTGGAGCTTCCGTCCCTTCTAGAGAAAAGAATGATAGTTTTAAAAGTTTTAGCTTAAAATTTTTAGTTTTTCTAGCGCCCACTTTGTTAAGGGATATAATTCCGCATCGAATAAAGATGAAAATATTGACCACTTTATAAGGGGGTTTGAGCTACTCCTCTTAACGAGGTTTACCTTTTAAGATGGAACCCTAAATCTTAACATGATATCAGAGTCCATTATATTTCAACGAGATCTACTAAAAAAAGAGCCACTATCTTGCGGGACATGTTAAGGGATATAATCTCATATCGAATAAAGACGAAAATATAGATCAATTTATAAAGATTTGTGCTACTTCTCTTAACAAGCTTGACATTTTAAGATTCAACCTCAAGTCTTAACACATTTATCTTCCACTACTAATAGACTTTTTTTTTTTTTTTTTTAAATCAAAACGGAAAAGTAGCCCTTACATTTAACTTGTAAATTAGAAAATAGAATTTAAGTATATATAGTGCATTATATTTTCTAACAAATGCACTGATGATAGAGAGAATCAAAGAAATTAGAGTCGAAATAATTTTATATAATCGAATCTAAAAAATTTATCAAGAATAAATTTTTATTTATTTATTTATTCTTTCGACCTTTAATTAATATTGACCGAAAAAAAAAAAAAGCATCTAGTTGATCCGTCTACGCAAGATGGTCACATAAAATAACGAATCTTAGTTTCTAAAATTAGGTGAAGACTTAATCAAATTAATTAATTATCAGGATAAACATTAAATTTATTCATGAAGAACTGGTCATCTTAATTTTTTCATTCAAATTTGATGTAAAGATGTTTGAAACTGCACACGATGAGCTTTTCTAAGGAAGAAATAGTCATCTTAATTTGGTAATAAATAATTCAGTAATAAACATTTAAGTGAAAAAAACGTCATTATAAAAAATTAAATAGGAAACCCTCTTTATTTACCTTTAACTCGTTTTGAAAATCTTGGTAGAAGTTTTGCTTATATTGTATATTGTAAGAGAAAAATAAAGCAATGTGAACATCTTAAAAATTAATCACAATGGAAGGAAAAAAAAATAATCATAGTCAATTATACGTGGTATGATTGAGAGCTAAAATCCAATCTATTTAAAGGGCCCACTTTGGTCAACCTTGTAGACTAAGGGAGCTACTTGAGCCCTATTTTTTATTAAAAAATAAATTTTGTAATAGTGATTTTTTTTTTTTTTTTAGAATATTTGATTAAAAAAAGTAAGGAAAGTTTCATGTTTATGTGCAAAATTATTTTATTGAAAGAATTTAATTGAAAATGAGTCTAAGAAAAAAAAAATTAAAGAACGGAGATCAAAGAAAGACTAAGCCCCGTTTGGTAATAATTTTTCATCCCAAAAAATCAAAATTTTAACCGTTATTTCACTATTTCAATCATCATTTTTGACTTCTTTAATCACAAGGAGGACCTATTTCCTCTCTAACAGTCAAAAAATCACTTCTCATAATTATTACCAAACATACCGTAAAACTGCAAATTTTGTTTGATAATTTACTTTTTTTTTTTTTTTTTTTTTTTTTTTTTTGATTAGTTAATTTAATCACCGACAGAACCAAATTATTAGATTAGCATAATAAACAATATTATTAGGTTTTTTTTTTTTTATAATAATTCTTTGTTAACAATCAATATAATATCGTGCCATTGATAGTCGGTACAACAGTGTTAGCAAGTTGTGCCAAGTTGAAATTTCAAATATATACTTTTGCAATGTTTTCTTTACTATAGATTAAATTGAATTATTCGCTTATTTGCTTAGTGATATTATTAGTTTAATTACTCTTTAATCACCGACAAACAAAGATTATCTTAATCATCTAATCTTAGATTAACATAATAAAAAAATATTAGTAGGTAGCACTTTGTTAACACTTGAGATTTGAGTCGACAATGTGAACTACTAGCATCCTAGGTCATTTACTTAAACATATAATTTTTCTTTTAATATGGAAGATCAAATCTTAATAAAGGGCAATCCCATAATATTTTATTGTATTACATAAAAATAAAAAGGGTGGTCATATTGCCACTGTATTTTTTATTTGATACACCACATTTTAATTGCAATTAAACTCCTCAATTTTTTACTCATTTTATCATTTATTTCTTTAACATTTTTATTGAATTTTTATCTTTAACTTTTCATTAATTAATACATCTAGTCCTTAATGATAATTTATATCAAAATATTTTATTTTTATGATTTGAAACGAGGGGAAAATATTTTTGACACTTTTATTTATTTATTTTTAAAAAAATATGATAGAAAATAAGTTAATCTACGCAATTTCGATGAACTGTTGGACATAAAACTATTATTACATTTTTATTTAACTTTTCGACCACATATATTGTCAACTTCTTTCTAAATCTACTAAAATTTTTTATCAAAAAATTTTGTTAAATAACCCCCTAAACTTTGACAAGTGCAAGTAAAGTTTGGACTAACATGGTGAGGATGGCCACAAGAAACTACGAACCTAAGGATAAGAGATGTAAGGAATATCACTAGTACGAAAATTGTATATTTAGCCTATATATAATCTCAATGATTGTTACAACGTACGATGAACATGGGAGTCTAGATATTCTAGTGCTCAATTAGTAAGTTGTAAATTGACTCATGTATTTACAAGTTTATTTATTATTCAAATTATTTAATTTTTTTTAAGAGAATCGAGTAGAGGACTTTGATGGTGAAACAACAATTTTTAACCAATCACGACAAAATGAATTTATTTAAATAATACTATTATCACATCTCTTCAAATGCTAGACACATTTTTTTTTTTTTCATCAATAGCCTCTTAGTGCATGCCCAATTCACTTTTTCAGCAAATTTATTTATCTAAGTTATGTCTTCAATAATCCATTCGATTTTAGCTTTAGCCGTGAAAAGGGTTTTGGCTTGAAGAGCCATTTTTTGTCAATAAAATAAATAGATTCTGTATTAAGTATATTTTACGTTTTGTATTTTACTCAATATGTCAATATCTAATTCCAAGAAATTATTTATGTATATTTATGTTTTCAATATGCCCCAACATATCTATGCTATGTGAACATCTTATATTTATCGCGATAGATGTTATTTGAATTCTTAAATTTTATCAAATTAAGTATGATATTTAATAATCTCATCTACTTAAAGTAAAGATTTATTTCAAGACTTCCATTAAACAAGAACATGAACATTCACTTATTTATTATATAAATCATGAAACACTCTGCATACAACCATGCATGGCTTGCTACGTAAAACATAGGGACGCTAATCTTAATAAAATAAACAAACTGAAGAAAATTATGACAACTTCTTCTGCAGTATATATAGCTTATTCTATTCTTCTTCCATCGCTTTCATTCTTCCTCAAAAATCATTTTCAGCATATCCATTTCTTCTTTATTCTGGAAATCTTCTCCTTCCTGCAAGAATGGATTGGCTTATAAGATTAAAACGAGTTGTTAGAATCAACTAAATCGAACTCTAAGACTCAATATGGTATCAGAGTCAAATAAACTCAACAATACGATTCCACGATTGATATTTACAAACGAGTCTAGCATTCTTGATTTTCATATTGTCTGGCAATTTTTTGTGTTGTCTGTGGTGAAGTTTATTCCATTATTTTATATGTTTACCTTTTTACAATCAATTAAAGACACTATAATGTATAAAATACTTTGGAATATTTGTAAAATGGAAAATAGATTACCCTTTCTTAGTCGTGGTGAGGAGGTGGAGGAGACTTGTACTTGTAAACTGGAGGTGGTGGGGACTTGTACTTGTAAACCGGAGGTGGTGGTGGTGGGGACTTGTACACATAGGGTTTCTTCGGGGTAGGTGGTGGTGGTGGAGACTTGTACACATAAGGCTTTTTTGGGGGTGGTGGTGGAGACTTGTAGACATAGGGTTTCTTCGGTGGAGGTGGTGACTTGTACTCGGGAGGTGGTGGAGACTTATATACTGGAGGCGGTGGTGGTGGAGACTTGTAGATATAAGGCTTCTTTGGTGGTGGTGGTGGAGACTTGTATTCATAAGGCTTCTTCGGGGGTGGTGGTGGAGACTTGTAGACATAAGGCTTCTTTGGTGGTGGTGGTGGAGACTTGTATTCATAAGGCTTCTTCGGGGGTGGTGGTGGAGACTTGTAGACATAAGGCTTCTTTGGTGGTGGTGGTGGAGACTTGTATTCATAAGGCTTCTTCGGGGGTGGTGGTGGAGACTTGTAGACATAAGGCTTCTTTGGTGGTGGTGGTGGAGACTTGTATTCATAAGGCTTCTTTGGGGGTGGTGGTGGAGATTTGTAGACATAGGGTTTCTTCGGTGGAGGTGGTGACTTGTAGACCGGAGGCGGTGGAGACTTGTATACTGGTGGTGGTGGAGACTTGTAAATATAAGGTTTATCGTCATCTGCATTGGTTACAAAAGGCAAGGATAGAGCCACTATTGCCACCATTAGAGTGGCAATAAGAGAAGCCATTGTAGACATCTTTAGTTTTAGTTTTGATTGTGCTAAGAACCCTTACATGCATCCCTTTATATATAGATTAGGATTTACCATTTTCAACTCATTAATAATTGATTAATTACGGTTAAAAAAGATAAAATGACTAAACCCATAACTTAATCGCTAGATCTTGTCGGTAATTAGTGGCTGAAAGCTAAGTAAACGAAATAAAATAGTTTATATGACCATTCTTTGTCCATTTGATGCAATAATTCAATGAAAAAGTCTTCCAATTGCATAAAATTATAAAAAAACAGAGACCTTAATTTGGTAATAAATAATTCAGAAATAAACACCAAAGTAAAAAACGTCATTATAAAAAATTAAATTGCAAACCCTCTTTATTTACCTTTAACTCGTTTTGAAAATCTTGGTAGAAGTTTTGCTTATATTGTATATTGTACGAGAAAAATAAAGCAATGTGAACATCTTAAAAATTAATCACAATGGAAGGAAAAAAAATAATCATAGTCAATTATACGTGGTATGATTGAGAGCTAAAATCCAATCTATTTAAAGAGCCCACTTTGGTCAACCTTGTAGACTAAGGGAGCTACTTGAGCCTCATTTTTTATTAAAAAATAAATTTTGTAATAGTGATTTTTTTTTTTAGAATATTCGATTAAAAAAAAAAGTAAGGAAAGTTTCATGTTTACGTGCAAAATTATTTCATTGAAAATTAGTGAGAAAAAAAAATTAAAGAACGGAGATCAAAGAAAGACTAAGCCCCCATTTGGTAACAATTTTTCATCCCAAAAAATCAAAATTTTGATCGTTATTTCACTATTTCAACCATCATTTTTTACTTCTTTACTCACAAGGAGGACCCATTTCCGCTCTAACAGTCAAAAAATCACTTCTCATAATCATTACCGAACAGGCTCTAAAACTGCAAATTTTGTTTGATAATTCACTTTCTTTTTATTTTTTTATTTTTTGAGATTTGATTAGTTAATTTAATCACCGACAGAACCAAATTATTAGATTAGCTTAATAAACAATATTATTAGGTTTTTTTTTTTTTATAATAATTCTTTGTTAACAATCAATATAATATCGTACCATTGATAGTCGTTGTTAGCAAGTTGTGCCAAGTTAAAATTTCAAATATATACTTTTGCAATGTTTTCTTTACTATAGATCACATTGAATTATTCGCTTATTTGCTTAGTGATATTATTAGTTTAATTAGTCTTTAATCACCGACAAACAAAGATTATCTTAATCATCTAATCTTAGATTAACATAATAAAAAAAAATTAGTAGGTAGCACATTGTTAACACTTGAGATTTGAGTCGACAATGTGAACAACTAGCATCCTAGGTCATTTACTAATATACAATGTATAATTTTTCTTTTAATATGGAAGATCAAATCTTAATAAGAGCAATCCCATAATATTTTATTGTATTACATAAAAATAAAAACGGTGGTTATATTGCCACCGTACTTTTTATTTGATACACCACATTTTAATTGCAGTTAAGTTCCTTTATTTTTTACTCATTGTATCAATTATTTCTTTAACATTTTTTCTCGAATTTTTATCTTCAACTAGAAACAGAATTCTGCTACTCAGACTTATTAAGGTATAGGATTTTGTATAGAATAGAAAAACCAAAATGATTGCAATTCTACCATTATTATGATATTACATATTCCTATTTGAGAAAAATAAAAGGATTCGATTTTCATTAATTAGTACGTCTCGCCCTTAATGATAATTTATATCAAAATATTTTATTTTTATGATTTGAAACGAGGGGAAAATATTTTTGGCACTTTTATTTATTTAATTTTTTTTAAAAATATGATAGAAAATAAGTTATTCTACACAATTTCAACGAACTGTTGTACATAAAACTATTATTAAATATAAAATGTATTAACTAACAAAAAGTTTAAAAATAAGAATGACATGAAAAATCGTTAGAAACATAAGTGTTGTATAATGAGTAAATATTAAAAACATTAAGTGCAATACACGTCACATGTAAGACATGAAGGAAGAAATCGTAACAATTAGAGCATATTTGTTACTCATTACTCATTGCTGAATAACACCCGGTATAAAAACCATTAAAATATTGAGATCGTGACGCATGTTGACTTTTCTAGAATTTTCCTTTTTTATTTCAATCTTTCAGAAAATAATAAATTTCTTTTGAAGAAATTAATCTTGATGGGGCCAAAACAGGGTTAAAACTTGAAAGAGCATTAATTATTGTTAGATAAGTCAAGGGTTTTAGGTGCGAGGCATTTCTTGAGCTGTTTTCAATGATAGAAACTTGAAAGATCAAATCTTAATAAGAGCAATCCCATAATATTTTATTGTATTACATAAAAATAAAAACGGTGGTTATATTGCCACCGTACTATTTATTTGATACACCACATTTTAATTGTAGTTAAGTTCCTTTATTTTTTACTCATTGTATCAATTATTTCTTTAACATTTTTTCTCGAATTTTTATCTTCAACTAGAAACAGAATTCTGCTACTCGGACTTATTAAGGTATAGGATTTTGTATAGAATAGAAAAACCAAAATGATTGCAATTCTACCATTATTATGATATTACATATTCCAATTTGAGAAAAATAAAAGGATTCGATTTTCATTAATTAGTACGTCTCGCCCTTAATGATAATTTATATCAAAATATTTTATTTTTATGATTTGAAACGAGGGGAAAATATTTTTGACACTTTTATTTATTTATTTTTAAAAAAATATGATAGAAAATAAGTTATTCTACGCAATTTCAACGAACTGTTGGACATAAAACTATTATTAAATATAAAATATATTAACTAACAAAAAGTTTAAAAATAAGAATGACATGAAATATCGTTAGAAACATAAGTGTTATATAATGAGTAAATATTAAAAACATTAAGTGCAATACACGTCACATGTAAGACTTGAAGGAAGAAATCGCAACAATTAGAGCATATTTGTTACTCATTACTCATTACTGAATAACACCCGGTATAAAAACCATTAAAATATTGAGATCGTGACGCATGTTGACTTTTCTAGAATTTTCCTTTTTTATTTCAATCTTTCAGAAAATAATAAATTTCTTTTGAAGAAATTAATCTTGATGGGGCCAAAACAGGGTTAAAACTTGAAAGAGCATTAATTATTGTTAGATAAGTCAAGGGTTTTAGGTGCGAGGCATTTCTTGAGCTGTTTTCAATGATAGAAACTTGGAAATGCCGTGTAACGACTTTACAAGTATATTCCGGCCCCTTCAAACTCTCATTTTTCAAACATGACTATTTAATTTCAGAAATTTTATCACTCATTTGATTTTACTTAAAAGTACGTTAAAAGTACTTTTTATCAACAAAATATACTTTCTAAAACTTACTTTATAAAAATAATACAATGCTATACGTACGGAAAAATCCTCCACAAAAAAGGAACAAAATACACACATGCAGACGTGGATGGGTAATTTTTTGCAATATTTTAATTTACATAGGGTCCAATCCCATGTGAGTATCTTTAATGTTTCTATAGATGATTTTTTTGTAAACCGGATTTTTCCATATATACTTCATCCATTCCATTTTTATAGACTTACGTTTTTTTTTTTTTTTTTCCCAATTTTCATTAATTAGTACGTCTCGCCCTTAATGATAATTTATATCAAGATATTTTATTTTTATGATTTGAAACGAGGGGAAAATATTTTTGACACTTTTATTTATTTATTTTTAAAAAAATATGATAGAAAATAAGTTATTCTACGCAATTTCAACGAACTGTTGGACATAAAACTATTATTAAATATAAAATATATTAACTAACAAAAAGTTTAAAAATAAGAATGACATGAAATATCGTTAGAAACATAAGTGTTATATAATGAGTAAATATTAAAAACATTAAGTGCAATACACGTCACATGTAAGACTTGAAGGAAGAAATCGCAACAATTAGAGCATATTTGTTACTCATTACTCATTACTGAATAACACCCGGTATAAAAACCATTAAAATATTGAGATCGTGACGCATGTTGACTTTTCTAGAATTCTCCTTTTTATTTCAATCTTTCAGAAAATAATAATTTTTTTGAAGAAATTAATCTTGATGGGGGGCCAAAACGGGTTAAAACTTGAAAGAGCATTAATTATTGTTAGATAAGTCAAGGGTTTTAGGTGCGAGGCATTTCTTGAGCTGTTTTCAATGATAGAAACTTGGAAATGCCGTGTAACGACTTTACAAGTATATTCCGGCCCCTTCAAACTCTCATTTTTCAAACATGACTATTTAATTTCAGAAATTTTATCACTCATTTGATTTTACTTAAAAGTACGTTAAAAGTACTTTTTATTAACAAAATATACTTTCTAAAACTTACTTTATAAAAATAATACAAAGCTATACGTACGGAAAAATCCTCCACAGAAACAGAACAAAATACACATATGAGGGGTAGATGAGTAATTTTTTGCAATATTTTAATTTACATAGGGTCCAATCCCATGTGAGGATCTTTAATGTTTCTATAGATGATTTTTTTGTCCCAATTACATAGTTTTGCTTCTTTATTGAACTTGTTTTGTTTTGTTCGTTTACCCTTATTTAATTTGTCTAGTTATAACCAATTTTTTCACTTAATCTTAAAATTGTACAATATAAGGGTAAAATAGAAAAGTTATTGGCAAAATTTATTTTTTAATAATATTAAATAAGATTTCTTAATCTGTGTGACAAAAAAAAAAGCCTATATAAATAGAACAGATAGAGTAACTTCTAAGTATTCACGCGCACGTCTTCATCTTTAGCGTGTTATTGCTCTAGCCTCTAGTTAGGGAGTTGGTGTAGCATGTATGAACTTAAAAATACTGTATCTCACAGAATAATCCCGCTTTAATTACTAGTAATGTCAAATTATCAATCATTTCGAGTCAAGAGACAGACATGTTAATGGTAAAATTTCACATCCAATAAATATGAAAATACTATATATAAGAATTTCGACTAACTCTTAAAAAGGTAAAAAATTTAAAATGAATCTCAAATTTTAATACTATATTAAAACTCTAAGCTCGTTTGAGTATTCAAATTTCAAAATATATAGGTGTGCTCAAATAAAAATAAAGATATAAATTAAGAGTAGAATTACTCCAAATTTGTAAGGACACATATATGATTTGCACGATATGCTCAAATCATCCATTGATTAGGAAACACGTTTTGGCTCCGCAGAACACGGAACAGAAAATGTTAGACGGATCTGTCTCCACGTGCACAAAAATTACACACAAATTGCAATTATATTATTCAAAAGAGATATATGTATTCTGTAATTTATTTTTCTAATTTTCTAAAATCTAAATTCACTTGGGCATAAATATTCATTGGCAAAATATCATAATATTGTTTATAAAGTTTTTCATATGTAAATTCCTTTTTAAAAAAAAAAAAATCAAAGAAAGGCCTGATAAATACATATTTGTGTAATTTAAGACCATATTGAACACATCATGTAATAAATCGAAGTTTCAAATTAGTTTTTTCATTTAATTTTTTTCTCATTTTCTTCGAGACAGAATCAACACCCCAACTCCAACTCCAACTCCAACTCCAAACCCCATGTGCAAACTTTCATGCTTGAGAGGGTAGAGGCAATATTTTTTTTCCTAATCAGTGCAATCTGTATCAGAAACAGTGTTACAAAACTTGTAAACTAAGTTTGACACTCATTATTTAAAAAATTAAAGAGTTTTGAATAGCATTTTTGAAAAATATGTGATTAAAAAGTAAGAAAATTTTATCGATTTATGTGTAAAATATTTTATTGTGTGAATGTGTGATTAAGAACGATACTGTAACAAATAATTTAAATATTTAAAGGATATCAAACAGGTCGTACTACAATTGTTGGTCAAATGTACTACTTTTATCAGGAATAAATGAGCCAAGAAATGTCTACTTAGATCCAAAAAATAGTCCACAAAATCGGCCTCCTTCTCTGGCTTTCTTTTAATTTTATTTTATTAGCTATGCAAAGTTTAATTTAATATGTCATAATAAGTGCACCACATTGTTGTATTATAATATTTAAACGATATCATCGTCGACCGACAAGTTAATGCCACGCACTGTCGCCGAACCATTCAGGAAATGCTCACCGTAGACATTCGACTGTCAGCAGAGAAAAGTACAGAAGCTTAACGAAACAAACAAATTGAATGAACAATTTGCAGTAAAAGGAGAATGTTTACTTCATTTCCAGCAAAGGAAGATGTCTCAAAATATGACAACAATCACAGAGTTAGCCTTCAACTCTTCCCTGCTAGATTGAGAGATTCTAGTGCAGTAACAAAATATACTTTCTAAAACTTACTTTATAAAAATAATACAAAGCTATACGTACGGAAAAATCCTCCACAGAAACAGAACAAAATACACATATGAGGGGTAGATGAGTAATTTTTTGCAATATTTTAATTTACATAGGGTCCAATCCCATGTGAGGATCTTTAATGTTTCTATAGATGATTTTTTTGTAAACCAGATTTTTCTATATATACTTCATCCATCCCATTTATATAGACTTACTTTTTTTTTTTTTTTCGTCCCAATTACATAGTTCTGCTTCTTTATTGAACTTGTTTTGTTTTGTTCGTTTACCCTTATTTAATTTGCCTAGTTATAACTACTTGTTTTCATTTAATCTTAAAATTGTACAAATAAGGGTAAAATAGAAAAGTTACTGACAAAATTTATTTTTTCAATAATATTAAATAAGATTTCTTAATCCGTGTAAAAAAAAAAAAAAGCCTATATAAATAGAACAAATAGAGTAACTTCTAAATATTCACTCACACGTCTTCATCTTTAGCGTGTCATTGCTTTAGCCTCTAGTTAGGGAGTTGGTGTAGCATGTATGAACTTAAAAATACTGTATCTCACATAGAATAATCCCGCTTTAATTAGTAATAATGTCAAATTATCAATCAATTCGAGTCAAGAGACAGACATGTTAATGGTAAAATTTCACATCCAATAAATATGAAAATACTATATAAGAATTTCGACTAATTCTTAAAAAGGTCGAAAATTTAAAATGAAACTCAAATTTTAATATTTTATTAAAACTCTAAGCTCGTTTGAGCATTCAAATTTCAAAATATAAAGGTGTGCTCAAATAAAAATAAAGATATAAATTAAGAGTAGAATTACTCCAAATTTGTAAGGACACGTATATGATTTGCACGATATGCTCAAATCATCCATTGATTAGGAAACACATTTTGGCTCCGCAGAACACGGAACAGAAAATGTTAGAAGGATCTGTCTCCACGTGCACAAAAATTACACACAAATTGCAATTATATTATTCAAAAGAGATATATGTACTCTGTAATTTATTTTTCTAATTTTCTAAAATCTAAATTCACTTGGGCATAAATATTCATTGGCAAAATATCATAATATTGTTTATACAGTTTTTCATTTGTAAATTCCTTTTTTTTTTTAAATAATAAGAATGGTACGCACAGTCAAAAGGAGAATATGTGGTTAAAAAGTAAGAAAATTTTATTGATTTGTGTGTAGAATATTTTATTATATGAATGTATGATGAAGAATGATACGATAACATATAATTTAAATATTTAAAGGTTATCGTACTACAATTGTTGGTCAAATGTACTACTTTTATCAGGAATAAATGAGGCAAGAAATGTCTACTTAGATCCAAAAAATAGTCCACAAAATCGGCCTCCTTCTCTGGCTTTCTTTTAATTTTATTTTATTAGCTATGCATAGTTTAATTTAATATGTCATAATAAGTGCACCACATTGTTGTATTATAATATTTAAACGATATCATCGTCCACCGACAAGTTAATGCCGCGCACTGTCGCCGAACCATTCAGGAAATGCTCACCGTAGACATTCGTCTGTCAGCAGAGAAATGTACAGAAGCTTAAAGAAACAAACAAATTGAATGAACAATTTGCAGTAAAAGGAGAATGTTTACTTCATTTCCAACAAAGGAAGATGTCTCAAAATATGACAACAATCACAGAGTTAGCCTTCAACTCTTCCCTGCTAGATTGAGAGATTCTAGTGCAGCCTTCCACAAAATGGGAGCTATATAAAGTTTAACAACCTATAATAATTATAAAGTCAAGCAACCCAATCCATCCCCAGGGCACACGGTGTTTTTCATCGTACGGAGCAGGTTCACCGCCTCCCACGAGGTCCAGGGGTAGACCTAGGACCTGGATGCTTAGAGAATTGCAGCCGCAAGTGAGTAGAATCTGGATCGTGTTCATCCATCTTATAACCTGTGCAATTAACAAGCAAAGATTTTTTAGTGCGCGAACGTTCGGATGGTCGATGGTTAATGGGTTATTGATTCAAATTAGCAATAATGTTCATCATTTCTTTGCACTAGAGAGCATCCACCAAACTTCCAACATAAATAGGAAATACAATCATATCTATAACATATTAAATATCGCATCCAATGAGAATAGATTTTTGGACAATTCTAACCCTACTGTAATTCAATAATTTCGATAACACCTTACTTTTCGTTTTTCAATATGTATTTAATTTATTTAACCATTTAGTTACCATCAATGTACAAGTATATTTGACAAATTAATTTCACCCGTATGCTTTCATTAATATATGAATTCCTTATTAATAATTCTCACTTAATTAACATTCACATTCATTTAAATAATATTCATCTCATTTATGCAATTCAGAGTTATTAATTCTAATTATAAGTTAATTAGAATTTCACATGTAAGAATGCATTTCATTATTCATGTCCATGTATGCTAATTAACATCCAATTTTACTTAATTGGAAATTAAATAAATGATATAACATGCATTGTCACGTATATATTCTCTGGTATTAATTAACATTCTACAACATTTACAGAACATTTCATAATAACGTTAAACGAACGGTCAACGTTGACTAGTCTGAAACAAAAGAGCCAAATAAGTTTTCAATCTAAAAGTCAGATAATTTTCTATTTTCTCTACCCTAAGTAAAGCATACATAATATCAAACGTTAATTCATTGAATAAAAGAAAAATAGCTAGAAGCTGCAGAATCAAAATGATCATAAGAGTACTAAATATTCAGGTATCTTAATTTCCAAAGTGAAGCATCAAGATGGATTCCTACAAACAAAACAAGAGGACAAAAGCAATTACCTTGCAAAGCACTTAAAGCAGTTGCTGCACATGCGGGGTCTATGAAATCCACAAAACTAAGGACAAGAGGATCTCCACCACGCTGCAAAGAAAATATTTGACAAAACCTCACTTTTGAGCACATCGAAGTCAAGAAGATGGTAGCTAGGTGAATAGTAGTAGTGCTAGTAGTTTTCATGTTTAAACTTGGCGAGGCAAAAACGGTCGATTTTTCAAAATTAGTAATCAACTTACATGCTTCGATTCCTTTCTTACAAGTCTCACTTCTCTGTACCCTACAAAAGGGCGAAAAATATCTAGAGACAATGTCAAAGAAGACAAAAAGGTTACAAGATGATATCAAACTAGTAGAAGAGTGTAACTACTAAAAAGAAAGAATTTTCCTATTTGTTATAGAATCTCAAAGGATACGAGCCACTTCCCTTCTGGTGCTGTTAGGAGGAAGCCCCTCAATGTACAGCGTGCTGGAAGCATCTGGAGGTAGAGGGAGGGTTTCCCGAGGTCTGACAATTGTATCTACTGGAAGTGGACCACCAAATCCCAAGCCACTTCCATTTGGTGTTGGTTTTGGACCACCACCACCAGGCCGCCCCGTTACAATGCGATCATGTACTGGAAGAGCAGGTCCACCACCACCACCAGATCTTCCTAACCCTATTCCACCGTAGTGAGTACTTTCTTCAGAAGGTAATTGCTGGAATGGAAATAGGATTTACGCATTAGTACCTAGAAAAACCAAAGCTGTGCGAAGCAAGGAGGTATTAGGATTACCAAATTCTGAAGATAATGATCGTAGGCTGAACCAATTGATTTTGTATCCTTCACTATTGTGGGCTCACCGTAATCATCATTCTGAGCCAAATTATAATGCATTTCATGACCCAAAGGCACCCTAGATGGCGGGAGATCTACATTGGTTGACAAAGCAGATTAGATAATTATATATCAAATTGACAAAGAACTAAATGCAGTCATCTGTTTTTTGTTAGAATAAGCAATTTAAGCGCCTGTTTGGCCCCATTATCCCACATTATAACGAGCGGAATAGTAATTTTTTGGAGAACGTGTGGTTAAAAATGAAGGAAATGTTTTTGATTTTATGTGTAATATTATTTTATTGGAGAATGTGTGGTTGCTAAGAAGAGAGAGAAAAATGAATTATAATTTAATGGGAAACAATGAAGGCCAGACAAGGGCTAAGTTTCTTCCAGTAAAAATTGTAACCCACTTCCAAGTATGCTTTGTGGAAAAGCATTTTCTATACAAATTAATGAAGAAAATGTGCAAAAGTTGAGGTCACCTCAACAAGTCAAGAGGGAATATCTGACTGATAAACGAACAAACTTTTCTTTAACTAAAATCAGAGACATCAAAGAGATACATGGTAAATACCAAATTATAATGCTAGAGTTATCTGAGAAGCCTTAAATAGAAACGGGGTCCCCATAAAGACACAGAGATGGAAAAGCAAAATTGTAAAGGATACAATTAAAATTCCAAAAAACCTACAAGTGGTTTAGATGCATTTAAAATCATATTATGATCAACTTCAATGACACATAAAATGAAAAATAGGGATAGAGAGAGCCAATTTTGGGATCAGGCATTAACCTAGAATACAATACAATAATAGACATATGCCTTTAATAATAGCAATAAGAATACAATGGTCATAGGAATGATGAGTAAGACAAGTTTCCATTTCCAAAATGGCATTTGGATACCCAAGAGTGTCCTCAAAACTATACTCGTGTATTTAAGGTGTCTCAGCATGACTCCATCAAGTCCCCATAGTTTCAAGATTAGAAAATGACAGAAATACCAAGCATGTTTCCATGCCTCAAATCGAGAGTGTCTGAGTTCCACAAATGAAAACCCTATCCAGAGGAGTATCTCTATGCTTCCTTGATTATAAATTTTAAGTATTCATAATTGAACTACAAGAGGTAAAATAGATGCATACAATCAGCAGATTAAGCCTGGAAGGGGTCGTCTCTTCTCAAATCAAATCAAAGCTAGCAATGTTTGTTCCCACCCAAAAGAATGGTCAAGGGACTCAATTTAGAACAGAAGATGTTATGTTCTATAACACCATACACAAGGAACAAAGTGCACTATAAAAATATGAAGATTTTTCCTCTCAAGACCATTCAAGTTGCCTCTTCAAATAATCCTTCAAAGAATGCAAGAGGTAATTATCATTTATTTTTTATGGTAGATTTTACAAATTCAACATATTCCTTATAATTTTGAATTGCTCTTACTTCGGCTCTCCAATGAAAGAAAAGCACAACAGAGGGTTGTAACAAAAAATGAATTGACAATTTACTCACCAGGAAGTCACAAAAGTGAGCTATCATCTTATGGAGAATAAAAGTACAGTGAAAACTAAGGTGCGCAGTTAAGGCCAAAAGGAAGTGTTGAGATGGCCCACAGCAAATTTAAGGAAAGGGGAGTGTTGATAGTTAATAGAATAATGTTAAAAGATCATATTGTTTCTTGAACTTTCTCCAACAAATTGATCAAACATTATCTAGAAACATGAGATGACATAAAGTTACATATTTATGTATAAGGTGTAAAACATGACATGCAATTACTTTAGGAAAAACAAAAGATGGTTACAAGCATGACATTACAAAAATTATCAAGACATTTAGGGCATGTTTGAGCCCTTTTTTTTTAATAGTGTATTGATGGAAAATGTGTGGTTAAAAAATAAGAAAAATTTTTAGGTTTGCGTGTAATAATATTTTATTGAAGAGTGTGTGGTTAAAATGTGGTCAAAATACTATTCAAGAATGCATTTTTGCCAAAAATTGGGGCTCAAACATGGGCTAAACAAGAGAGTCATACCCACTATGTTAACAAGAGAAGAAAATTTGGATTAGTTTAATAGAAAACTGGTCTACAGAAACCAGAATTTTTGACAAACTTAGCTTTGCATAATTGCAGACCACTATATAAAATCATCAATGACGGGAAATTATCTAACTGATATTTTGGGCCACTAAAAACATCTTTTTAAAATATAATTTATGACCCATTCTTTGGCCAAAAAATTTATTCTCAAGAATTTCAAATCCTCATGAATTGATGGATAAATTCATAATAAATTAAATTATACAACCAAAACAATTTGAACCTTATTGCTTTTTCACTCATCAGAACTGATGTGAAATACATATTATAAGTTCATCTCGATCCGCCTGATAATTTCATACATATTAAGAAAATAGTGCAAGCAATGCCCTTCCATTATAACACCTTGAAAAGAGTTGATTCACATCTAACTTTTCTTCTTGAATTCCCATCAAATGAACTGGCCATCAATACCAGATAACTTTTCACCAAAATATTGTAAATGGAGAGCACTAAGCCAAAAACCACATTAGAAATCAACAATAATTGTCACCGCTAGAATTTTCCTAAGAAGTAAAGATTGTGTTTTGACATTCAATTATTCCTGATAGCCTGCTATTCTCAGAGCAGGGAAGCTGGATAAGCGGCTCAGATATTGGATTTTGGAATTCAGTTATGGCAAATTATAGAAAAGCCCCATATAAATGTAATGAATATATCTAATTGAAATGTAAAAAAGAGCAAGGCAAATTGAGAACAATGGATGAATAAATTTTCATAGTATGGGAAAAGGCTATCATTATTATCTTCCATAACAAACCAAGCTTAGCCTTCCTTAAAGACATGATATCCTCGATAAGTTCAACCCTAAAGACGAATTCTAGAGAGAAAAGACAGCATTCAGAGTTACCTTAAAATGATCTCAACAACATGAAAATTTTGACAGCAATATATTAATAGCTAACCAAGAGAATACCACGAAAGTCAAAACCATTAACATAATTGGTTTTGTACTCAGTGTTCCATAGAACATAAAAAGGAATTTAAATGTAAATAAATTAAACCAGGAAAGGAAGAGACAACTTCCAGCAAGGATCAGTATCACTTATAACAATCAATTTAAATCTTAAACCCAAGTAATAGCTCAAAAATAACATCAATTTCAAGTTGGTCCTACTTAACACATATCAGATTTAAAAAATAAAATAAAAATGGCAATACAATTCAAGAGCCGATATATTGATTACCATATTCACTGCGAGGTCGTTTTAGGGAACCCGCGGATTGTTGCAGAGGTACTTGCCGATTATTCCAGTAGTCATCCCCCATTCCCTCTAAAAATCACGGAGAAAATGAAAGAAAAACAATTTCAATTATCTATATGAATAGATTATACATCTAAAATAGTACATTTCATGAAAAAATTATGTAGAATAAACTAACCTGGAGGAGTGATTGCGAGAATGTTTGTGTAGAAACCCTAGATCCGGTGATCAATCGCGGTGCCTCCGGGAGTAAATTTGGTGAAGATTTTGATTCTATTTTCTTGATCTGCTGTGCGGAAGGTGTAGACTGCTCTAGTGAGGACGCGTTCAGCAAATATTTGAATAGATTATTTTGTGGTGATTATAGTGATATTCAGATATTTCATTAGAGTTTAGTACTAAAGCTCCAATTTGACATTCATTAAGTCCATTTTTGAGCCACATTTCAAGAAAAAAAGAATTATTCATGTCAAATTAATAGAAAATGTATGGTTAAAAAATAAGAAAATATTTTAAATTTTCGTGTAATATTATTTTATTAAAAAATGTGTGGTTGAAATGATGTGAAATCACTGTTGAAAAATGTATTTTTTTTTTTAAATAATGTGGCTCAAAGAAGCCCTAAATCAATTATTTTTTTCTAACTCATTTTCAACCGCACGTACACACAATAAAATATTTTGTACATAAAATTAAAATTTAATTCTATTTTTAATCACACAATTTTCAAAAAATCACTATACCAAAACTTATTCTTCCTAGAAAACCTCATTAAAATGGATGTTAAACAAGGGCTAAATATTGCCCCTGTTTGGCCCAAATTTTTTTCAAATTTTATTGGTTTAGGGTTTAGGGTGGTTTAAAAAGAATGAAAAGTTTTTTATTTGCATATAATATTATTTTATAAAAGATTGTGTAATTGAAAATAAGAGAGAAAAAGAATGAAAATGGGGTCAAATGGGGGCATTATTTTTTCTTCTCTATCTTAAGACTAGTAATTGATTCTCTTCAGAAAATTATCGCTACGATCTCGAACATCTTTGAAACATAATAATGGATTTTTTTTTTTGAGTTAAACTACAAGTACAGGGTTTTTATACAGAAAATTTTTCACAGACACGTGTTGAAACATCATTCAAAAATGGGGAAATAAAACATAGACGGACATGATTTTTTTATTTCAAAATCCTGTATAAATTCTGTTGACCTACAAAATTGGACCTTCCACGTGGCCAACCGAGAGCTACTCCACGTATTCCTCCCTGTGCACAATCAACGCTCGATCAGACGCACACGGCCGGGACCAGCGGAGGTGGTGGCGGCTGTATACACTCTGACGGTCAAGTTAGATTCAGGTGGTTGGAACAGTACCCAGGGGTTGTATAAAATAATAAGGGGGTGGAGAAAATATATATACTTGTTATGGAGTGCTATGTAATAAGAGTTTCATTACTTTTGCCTCTTGTCAACCCTTGAGTATTTATAGGTGGGATGAATCGTTGGATGTGGGGCACGTGTATACATCTGACGGTATGAGGTGTCTGCTCATGGGCGTCAATCAGCCATGTCTATAGAGTGGGCGGGTAATTATTTCTTTCGAGTTGAGTTGACATAAAATTGATAAGTCACATCAACTAGCCTCATGGAGACGTCAAATCAATTTAAACCTTAGAGGCAGAAATGATCTTGGCAAAGAACTCCTTTTGAAATTGGCGGCGGATCTTCTGACAGAGGTCCCCGGATTGTACTTCGCCTCAGCCTCAGGGACGAGGGCACTTCGGTAAGTTTAGCAGGATCGCCTATGTCTCGCAGTGTGATAGCAGGTCGTTGACATTGGGGAAATCACTTTGGAACTACTTCGAGTGGGTATTTGTCAGACCGGAGTGCGTGGTGGTGGACATTCCGAGGTGGTTCAGATAGGGGCGTAACAGTGGTCCCCCAAGTCCAGCTATGAATATTTATATCATGGGTGGACTTGCCTTCCCGACCGGATGTGTATGCCTCGGTACGTGGACCGTGACTTGTGGGAGTTTGTGGGCCGATCTTTTGCATTCGCCGAAGCAATGATTTTAGGCAGATGCTCTAAAGCTTCGCTACTACGTAAGGAAAACAATTACTCATGTGAGACCGAAGTGCTGCAATACTGGATGATGTGTAGGAAGAAGGTCAACGCAGCGACCGAGGCGATAACCTACAGTGGCCTCGCGTCAGGTGCGTCTAAGCTTTGTAAAGTGGAGTGAGAAGCTCATCTGCCACCGGTGCGCTGACCCACAGGGGACGACGCGTTGGGAGATGGCTAAAACTTTGTAAAACTTAGGAGGAAACATAGCGACCGAGGAGATGACCCACAGAGGACTCCGCGTCAGGTGTGTCTAAGCTTTGTAAAGTTGAGTGGGGAGCTCATCTGCCACTAATGCGCTGACCTACAGGGGACGACGCATTGGGAGATGGCTAAAACTTTGTAAAGCTTAGGAGGGAACGCAGCGACCTATGTGATGATCCACAGGGGACTCCGCGTCAGGTGCGTCTAAGCTTTGTAAAGTTGAGTAAGGAGCTCATCTACTACCGGTGCGTTGACCCATTGGAGACGACGCGTTGGGAGATGGCTAAAACTTTGTAAAGCTTAGGAGGGAATGCAGCGATTGAGGCGATGACCCACAGGGGACTCCGCGTCAGGTACGTCTAAGCTTTGTAAAGTTGAGTGAGGAGCTCATCTGCCACCGGTGCGCTGACCCATAGGGGACGACGCGTTGGGAGATGGCTAAAACTTTGTAAAGTTTAGGAGGGAACGCAGCGACCGAGGCGATGACCCACAAGGAACTCCGCGTCAGGTGTGTCTGATCTTTGTAAAGTTGAGTGAGGAGCTCATCTGCCACCAGTGTGCTGACCCACAGGGGACGACGCGTTGGGAAATGGCTAAAACTTTGTAAAGTTTAGAAGGGAACGCAGCGACCGATGCGATGACCCATAGGGAACTCCGCGTCAGGTGCGTCTAAACTTTGTAAAGTTGAGTGAGAAGATCGACCCGAGGTGGGCATCTGACGTTAAATGATTTGACAGCTGTTGCGTATTTTCAAGGTGACAGTTGGGTGCCATGCCCATTCCCCTAAAAGGCTGCTGCAGCTACTTATTGTCGACGGTTGGTGGTGACCGAGGTGACGCGTTTTATGCGAACGTGAGGGTCACAGCAAGATCTTAGGCGTAGATCAAATCTAGCGTTTCATTTCAACGGCCTAGATCGATGATGAGACGGACGGCCTAGATTGATTGCATTTGAATTCAATGGTGAAGATCAGTTGGAGCATTTCATAAAAGGCAGACTTTGAGCGTCTTTGAAGCTTTTCACCCTTTTGCAAACAGAAAATTTAGTTTGCTCTCAAATCATTTGCGATTTTCGGCATTTTTTGAGCATTTCCGACGAGAAATATCAATTTCCGGCGACCTTACATCATTTCCTGACCATTTTCGGCTGGGGAAATCTCTGAATTCGTAAGTTTCAGTAACTTTTGGGACATTTATTTTCTGAAAAATGGCTTCTGAGAGAAGTTCTGGTTCGGAAAGAGGGCTAGAATTAGTGAGGATAGATGAGCCCACTGTGGCGACCCCCTCCGATATAACCGAAGCGATACTTGGGGAGGAGAATATATGGAAAAGGCCGGATAGCCCGGCTGATACTTCTGTGTACTGGGGGGCGTCGGATTATCCTTCCAAACTAAAGGAGGCAGACCTAGAGAGATTTAGGGTAGAATATAGGATTCCAGACAGTATAAATCTGATCCTACCCAAGCCTGAAGAGAGGGCTTGCTACCGTAGGCCGGGGTGCATGGCCATAAGTGAGGCAATCCTTAGAGCCGGCCTTAGACTTCCAATTCACCCTTTCTTCAGGATGGTGCTTAGGTCCTTTGGATTAGCTTCGACCTAACTCAATCCGAACTCCTAGAGCCAAATGGTGGCCTCCTAGATGTTGTGGAAAGAGGCGTCACTTGGGGTTGAGATGCCCTTCTCCATCTTTCAGACCTTTATATCCCTAAAGTAATAGCCGGGGGGGGGGGGATAAGACCCAGGACTGGTATTATCTTACTTCATGGGGTTCCCATACTCCATTCGTGCTCGATCTGCCGAGCTCCATCAAAGAGTTGAAGAGCTTGTGGTGCTGGGCCGTAGGATAATGGGACACAATGGAGGGGGACCCCCTGGCACCTCTTATGGTCCCCACGAAGTACTCGACACTTAGTGAGTATCGCAGTTGCGTTTCTTTATATTTCTCTTCAGTTCGAATCGTAACTAACATTTGTATTTCTTTTGAAGGTACTCGTCCTCGGTGCAAGCTATCTTCTGAAGACTTCGACACCATTTGCATCATCTGTCAGCTGCCTTAGAAGAAGAGGTCATACCATCGGCTGATCAGAAAAAATCTACACTTCGTTACACATGACCTGATGGCATCTTAAGGTAATTGTCCCGAAGTTTTTACCCTTCAATATTTCTGAACTCTTTATACTTATACTAATCTATCGTTTGTTCCTTGCAGACAACTTCAATAAGAAGATGCCCGTGTGCCTCGATTTTAAGACCATCCAAAGGATGATGGCAGAGGCATGGGCCCTGAAGACCTCCTCCTCCGCCTACAAGAAGCAAATGGAGGACTTGGTGGATGCCAGTAAAAGGCTCCAGCCTCCGACGGAGGAGGAGGTGCCAGAGGACCCTGAGGCCGACCTGTTGCAAAAGGGCAAAAAGTGTGCCGTCCCTTCAAAATGCCCAACTGTGGTGAGGCCACCCCCATTCTGAAGCAGACTACAATCCCAATCGGGATGGCCATTCCGGAGAAGAGGCCTACACCAGCAGAGGTTGCAACTGTCCCGGCCACTTCGCTACTTGCTGCCGTGCCTATTGCCCAATTGTCGGGGCAGCAGAGGAGAAAGATGGCCCGTCCCTCTAAGGAGGTCGACTTCTTGGGCATCAACCCGGAGGAGCCGGTGAAAGAAGTGTCGGAGGCTCTTCCTCCAGAAATGGCTGTAGTAGCGGTGGTCCACAATAAATACTGGACCGAAGAGTGGAGGGACCACACCGCTTCCTGCACAGCCGAAGACCTGGTGGAGGCCAACAATGCCTGCGTGGCCTGGGCTCTCAGCACCAGCATCCAACTGGAGGGCTTGGTGAAGGATCTGAACGCTAAGAGGGAGGACCTCGCCAAGCACCTCGAAAAGGCGATGCAGTACGAGGACGCTGTGAGAGAGGCCCGGGCCAAGGCCACTGAGGAGGAGAAGGGACAGAAGGAGGTCGAGGCCCAGCTGACTATTGCTAGAGCTGAAGTGGAGCGGCTGAAGAAAGAGCTATACGAGGTGGAGTG